ACAATGTCTCTCGCCTCGTGACCGCCTGGCCCACAACATGCCGTTCCAGGAACAAAGCGCAGAGCGAGGCGGTGTCAAGGAAAGAAGGAAAGTCAAGTCAAGCAGAGCTGCGTCTTGCTCCGCGAGAACCGACGTAGGATTTCATATACCCGCCATAAAAAATTGATGCCAGCCACTGAAAACAGGCTGGCAACAGAGTGTAAGCGGGGAGTCTGTTTGATGTCTGAACTTATCGTTGCCGAAAAAAAAAAGGGGGAGGGGGGGCAATGAAGGATCAAGGAATGCTCAGCGCTGTTGCGAGAGCGCACGCCTCCGATTGTGTTGCTAGACCCTCGCCTGATCTGTTCCTGTAAAGCTGGAGCGAGAGTAAAACGTTCATTCGTGGCACACATGCGGACGGAATGAGTGGCTCCAATATATCTACACCATGGCCAAGATTTGAGCGGTAGCCTCTACAGATCCCGTTCAGGATGTCGAGCAGGTGGTGGTCGACCAGTCATGACTTTGGACCTCTTCACAGAAGAATTCGCGCTCTCATCAAGCTCGCTCACGGTTGCCCTCAGCAAACTCATCAGGGCACCACAACCACGTGTCACGAGTATGATCGAGGGCCGCTTGCGATCGCGTAGATACAGAATAATCTCGAATTTTAATCAAGTACAGTAGTGCACGGCTGCATGCTATGGGACCCTGAAGCCGCACCTCGGGAGCGGATCACCAGTGCAGGCAGGGGATCTGACTTGCCTCTGCTCAAGCCCTAGGGTTTGGTCACATTTCATTCACGATTTTGACTCGACATGGCACAGCACCGATTCCCATCGTTATTTCTCTCTGCTGCTCGCGCCTAGCTTCGACTTCGCATTGCACAGTGTTTCAAGCCTCGCACTTCGCTTCACGCTTGGGCGACCGCAATAGGACAAGGAAGGCAAATCAACAAGCCACACCAGACTCGGCGGCAGCGGCAGCGTCGGCTAGCTCCTTCGATTGGGGCTTGTCCCGCTCAGCGTCTTTTTGCTCTCAGCATGCGGAGCGACGCCCAAGGTCAACAAAAGAACGTGCATCTCGCGCCATTCTCTTTGAGGAGGGAGGGACCTTTGGCGGGAGAGGCGGTCGGCAGTCACCGTACCTGGCAACACTCTGCCGGGGCTGGTCAGCGCGCGAGAACAAAGGGAAGGGAGGGGACTCGGGATGTGGAAGTTCATGCGCCGCGCGCGCACGCGTTGCACAATCAAATTCGAGTCCGTGACTCCGATTTGATTCGATCGTCAGACGACGGGACTGCTGACAGACGCACTGCCCGGCGACTTGCCGCAATACAACCTATGCAGAGTGTAGCAGAAAGAAGAAGAGTGCACCCGTGAGCGATTGCGGTCAATTACCTCTGCCAGCTCACGTGGAAGCACTTGGACCACAACTCCCACATGAACGCGCGCGATTCCTTTGTTGTCGGCTATGCAGCCGAGGCAGGGTTGGCGCTAAGCTCCCGCAGCTTCCGCGTACTGTACCAACTACAGTGTGGGTATCCGTGATGAACGCGCGCGCGCAGCTTGCCGATGCGCTCGCTCCTGTTTCCTTTGTCGACGAAATCGCAGCGTACAGATATCCGGAAGTTTGCATGGTAAGAGAGGAGAGACCCGCATTTCGTCTTTGCCCTCCCCATCTGCGGCCAGAAGATTCGTGTGATCGCCCATCTTTGCGAGACGTGCGTGCTGACTGAGGGCAACGCGCTGCTGCTCATCTCCCTCTTTCTCCCTCCACGACATCTCCCGCCACGCTGACTCCAGCTTTCGCAGACGGTCGTAATCAATCAGAATAAGGTATGGCTTGTTTGTGCATGCACGCAGGCTGAAGCCATCAAGCCGCTGATGCTTCATGCTTCATATGATGCTGCATATTGCATGGGATCGGGCTCACTTCAATGAGGCGTTTTGATAGGTGTCAGCCCTGATTTGCGCCGCTCGCTCGCTATAGCTGAAGGACAAGGACAAGAGAGCGAGAGGGTGAAAGGGGGGCAGATGAGCAGCGGGTAGCATTCCGAGCAGAAATGTGTGAGCACGTTTGACGTCGTGCAGCTTGACGACTGAATGCAGCAGCTGTCTCCCGAGCTCGCGACTCTTTCCAACGTCACCGTATCTGCTCATCACTCATCAGCTAGACGCATCAGAGATCATCACCGCATCGGTTCACACTGTGACTGTCGACTTCCTTTATGGAACACATAGCTCAGCCCCTTGCCTGAGCTCTGAGCTCTGAGCTCTGCGCTGAACCTGTCTATTTCCAGCCCACTTTCAACGCTGCCGCTCTACCTCACCCTCGTTTTTGCCCTGCCTGCTCACGTCACATGCAGCAGCGATCTCCCGGCGATCAAGCCACTCACACTCCATGTCGGCTGCTGCTCTTGACGTCGATTGTCCGCCGCCGCCTCCGGCCGCAAGCATGAGCCGTGCTGATGGCAAGCAGGTGAGTTGTTTGTGGCTTATCCTAGACGTTCCTCTGCTCTCTCGAGGGCCATCGGCAAGCGAGGTTCCCCCCTCATCGTGCTTGGCGCAGACATTGTGATCGGCAAAAGCAAAGCGCCACGAAACGCGAGCGTCGCCGCGGAGAGTCGTGAGTCATCACCTCGACTCTTGTCGACCGTATGAGCGGGGCGAGTCGCACATATAAGCAAGGACAAGGACACCGTCGGGTTTCCTTGTCTGTCGCCTCCCATTGCCATTGCCACATACACGGGTGCCTGTGTCGCAGCTTACTGGTCAAAGCATCTTTCTCAACGCGAGCGCCCTCCTCCTTTCTCCGCTACCGTACACTGACATATGGTTCTATCCACGACCCTCATTACTATCGCCTATAGTTAGCTTCTGTTCTCGACTCAGTCTCGGACTCTCTAATCGACTTCTCTGGCTCCACCACAAATGACACTTCCTCCGTGCTTTGTCCTTCCTCTGTCACACTAGAGCTGGCACACCTTCAAGCCTCCAGCCAGTCCTTCAAGCTCTTCGACAGCACAGCAAGACCCCTACGCAGGTCTGCGCGCACTCGCAGACAAGCATCACAAGCCTCGACAAGCGTCGAGAAATTGAGCAAGGCAGGCCCTCGCAAAATGTCAAACTACTTTTCGCACGCCGCCTCGAGCTCCACGCCCAGCGGTAGCACACCATGCTCTGCTCCCATCTCCATTCCGCCAGCCCAACTAGACCCCTCCAGCAGCGCACTGCACCGGACGCCGCCCGCCGTCACGCCGACCCCTATGCCTGACAAGGGGGCTTTTGAGCTACATCTCGAATCGACAGCCTTTCGTAAGTGCACTTCTCCGACGCTTGGCCGCGCGCCCAGACATTGGCTCACCATCGTCGCTCCTGCTCGGTCATTAGGTGACGCACTGCCGAGTCAAGCCAGCTCCAGTAGCGCAGCCTCACCGTCTCGATCCAGCTCTTCAACCACGCATGCAGCTGATTTGGACCACAGCGCGACCAGGCATGAGCGTTGGGCAGGGCACAATTTGAACGACGGCGGCGCTGCTGGGAGCAAAGTGTTGTCTAGAAGCGTGTCTTCCAGCGATCTAGGCGAAGGCTCGTCTCGAGCTGCTGCCGAAGACCCTGCATCCCTTCCAGTGTCTGTCAGCATCCCTAGATCGACAGCTCCTTCCCACGCTCGCAAGAAAGCTGCAGACCATGTTCCCAGACCTAGAAACGCATTCATCCTATTCCGCAGCCATGCCCATCGACAAGGACTGGTGCCCAAGGAACTCAGTGCCAATCATTCAAACATCAGCGTCATCATCTCACACATGTGGAGAAGCCTGCCCACGGAGGAGAGGGAAATGTGGGCCAAGGAAGCGCAAAGGGAAAAGGATGAGCATGCGCTCTTGTACCCGGACTACAAGTTCAAGCCCGTGTACAGACGGGAGAATGTGGTCAGACGGAGCGTTCGAAAGGAAGGGGATGAGGAAGAGAAGAATCTTAAAATTGCCGATCACATTCTCAAATCACATGGACGCGACGGAGTCCAGCTTGGCGAAGAGCCCAACAGCAACATCATCGCTTCATCTGCAAGCGAGCGCAAGAGGGTCAGACGTGCCGAGTCTCGCGCCAAGTCGAGGAACAAGATAGCCGCAGCTGCAGCGAGCGCCTCTTCGAGTTTGGAGCAAGCACATAGGAACAGGGCCCTCAAAGTTGCTCGAAGGGCAGTGCGGGAAGTAAGCAAGAGTCCAGCTACCACTTCCTCTGCAGCTTCTCCCGCAGATTGGCATTGCGCCTCGCAACAAGCGTGGGACGGCACTCAAACTCAAGACTACGTTGCGCCCGCCCTGAGAACAGTGAGGAGATCTTCATCTGTCCCTGCGCTCGCCGACAGCGTCAACTGGGGCAAGAGCACCTGCACGCCAGCTCCGCTTTCAACAGATGGCCCTGTCATCTATCCAGCAAGCGCCCTTCCTCAGCACCTAAAGACTGGCTTTCATAGCTACCCTAGTCCCCCTCATCAACGATCTGCAACATATCATGAGCCCATGCATCTCAGCGCTCCATTGCACACACCGATGAGCGCTTACTCTACCGTCTCTGCATCCGGTCTCTCTTCTGGTCTCGCCGGTGTCCAAGTCTCTCGATCACCGCAGATGCCAATCTCACCCATGACACAGGTGCATCCCATCTCTGCCTCCCAGCACTCACCCACGTTTAGATCGCAACGAACCGACTTGCCGCGCCCCTTTACCTCGGCAGGAATCGCCAGCGCTGTCAGTAATGCAACTAGCGCTCTGGATCTCAGTCCCCCCACTTGGTCCAACTTTAGGGACATGCTCGCGTCTCCGCACGTCGCCACAAGCTACGGCAATGCTCGTCGGCCTAGTGGAACAGGTTGGCAAAGCAGCTCTAGGCTCGTCAACGCGGACATTGGTCTACCAGTCATGAAGCCTCGA